ATTTGGTTTTGGGCAACCAGAAGCTGACGCCTCTTTTATAAGTTAGCCAACCAACATATCTTCAAATACATTATTCAATAATGGTTCGTATGATATCTTACGAAAAGTTACTCTTATTTTTTTCTGCGATTTACTACAAAAGTGTAAATTTCTGCTCATTATACGAATACAGTCTTTTCAAAATAAACTTTCGTCTTCACAGGAAACAACTCAGTTCGGTTTAAGAAAAGACGGTGGTTTGGGTTGAAATAACTACAGAAGTGTCGTTTCTTAAGTACACAAGTTACGTGACAAATAACGTTGACTACTGGTTTCACACGGGGAACAAACATCCGCCTCCCTCCAGTCCTGATGTATCTGATGAAGAGAATATAACACAGAACGGGATTGTTTCAGCCTTCATCGCTTCAGCTTGTTATCTTACTCACTCGTGATTCCTTTGAATTATTTCTGATCAGTGGAAATGACGAAGTGACGATTCAGCGCTTGCCAGTTCAGTCAAATAGTCAATAATCAAATCTAAAATATAGAATAATTCATTCATTTACATCCTTTCAGATGAGGTACCAGTGGTGGCTGCAGCGACTCCTCTGCTGCTGCTGGCTGTCATTGTGTTCATCATCTCCATCCTGTCCAGGACTCTGTGAGTCAACACACACACTCACACACTCACACACACACACACACACACACACACACCGATGAATAACAGCTACTGTTCTGTTATTGTGGCTGGAGCAGGAGCCTTTACTTTACCCACAGACTGTGTATAAGAAGTGGAGGTCCTCATGGTGACGTCTCTCGAGAAGTAGTCATTTTCTCATAGACTTCTATACAACCAGAGGAGTCGCCCCCTGGTGGACACTAGAGAGAATGCAGCTTCTTACTTTCTCACACTCTCTACAGTGTTGTTCTACCGTTTTACACACGACATCTACTGCACGTTTGTCCGTCCACAGAGAGTGCTCCCTCCTCAGCTGTCTTGAGGGTTTCTTCTGTTTTTTCCTGATCTGTTAGAGGACAGAGGGTTAAATGCTGTGCAGGTTGTGTGATTAACTTTCTTACTTAAACTGGTAAATTAAAATCCATCTCTCATACCTCTTCTGTGCAGGTACAAGTCTTACTTCTTCCCGCCCATCTGCAGCCCTCAGGGCAGTACGACAGGCCAGTGGCTGATGGATCCAAACCACCAGGTGAGTTCTTAAATATACCGGCCTGTGATTGGCTCCTGATTCTCAGGTCATGAGAGTGCTCTGCTAGTTTAACGTCCCTATAAACAATCATGTTTAACATGTTGCTTCGTCTCATATTCAGGTTTAAAGACTTATTTTGTCACGAGTCATCGTTTTTACGCTTCCTGTTCCCTCGTCTCAAAGTCGGTGTGTTTTTAATTAGACGTCTGAAATAAGATCTGCGTTTAACAGCAGCTGAAGAGATTTAAACGTTTAGTCCTCTGATATAAAACAGGTCAGTAAGTACCTGAATCTTAAAGAGTGTAAAGGAGGCAACTAAGCGTCCTCACTAGGACACTAGTCCTCCTTTAGCTGAGTGGAGGAGACGTGAAGTCATGTGACCATGGTGGAGTTACTTTACACTTCAAACATCATAAAAGTGGAGTTCATTAGTGAAGATTATCTTGATGAACCACCTGTAAGAATCATAATCCCGTTGGCTGTTTGTGGATGGAACCAGTGATGCTAACTTCCTGTTAGCTTCAGAAATACCTGCAGCGCTATTATCACTGTCTCAATGCTTCTCATTCTGGAGCAGAGGATCCATCCCTGGTATCAGACCTTGTTGAACCCTTGACCTGATGCATGTTTACAACTCCTCACTGGCGCTTTATTATCTTTTGAAATATTCAAACTTAAAAAGGGACTTAATTCCGTTATTGGTCTTCCCTGAATCCAGTCCTTTGTTGCCCTCAACAGAAAGCTGCAGACAGACACGTCCTGGACATGGAGGACTTCCAGGTGACGGATGTTCTCGTAGAGAAGAGTCTCATCACGGTCTGTCCGAACTCTGAAGAGGACCTCCACGAAGACGCGTCTCCGCTGTCCATCGTCAAACTGTCAGCCCTCCAGCTGGACACGGAGTACCGTCCCGACGCCCCAGGAAACACGGAGCACCCACTGGTTTCTCTCCAGTCCTATCACGCAGACTACCCAGACAACCGGCGACACCCCGACGCGGTTTTCTTATCTGAGGACGTCGCCCCGCTGCGTCACACGAGCGACGCAAACGGCCGCTTTGCTCAGAGAGACGACGAGACGGAGCTCAAGAGAGAAACATTTGATCTTTGTGAATTGGTGGCAAACGGTCACGATGTTTATCAGATGACGTGCGAGGCCGAGTATGTGGCAAACGGATGCCTGATCTGTGAGAGTGATTGTGCAGCAAAGAGTTGCCAAACTGCAGAAGAAGAGTGAGAGACACGCTGGTGTGACATGAGAAGAGTTCATCCTCCGATGCTGGAGTTCACAAAACAATACAGACTATTGCTTGGTGTGTTGCAGGCAAACCAAGAGTCTAAGTTTCATGATACTTTGTGCCTCCTCGATTCCTTTCCTCGCCTCCTCTCCTCGCGTCTTAGTCCCGCCTAGGAGGCGAGGAAGAGACACCGTAGCTGTATAACAGCTGTTTAGTTTTACAGTCACACATTATTTGATTTAATACACACACACACACACAGGCTAATATAGACGTTATAGTGTGAACTACAAATATTTGTATTAAAAGGAGAATAAAACGGTCCAGCCGTGGTTTGAGCTCAGACCACTTTTGTGCCTCTTACTTGTTTATATAAAGGACACTCTGGTGTTTCCTCGCTCACAGCTCCTCCAGATGCATTTCTAGGGATTGGGATGTTGTTCATGATGGAGCGCTGACATCGATTTTCTGATCACAAGCCGGAGAGTCGAGTCGTCGAGGCGGCACAAATTGGGGGAAATGAGAGAGTCCTTGTCCTCTATTGTCTGCCTACCTTTGTGATTTTAAAGGATCAAAGAAGTTGTTGCACTTGTGATTTCCTCGTGTGTGTGTGTGTGTGTGTGTGTGTGTGTGTGTGTGTGTGTGTGAGACTCTATGGCATCAATGCTAGCACAATAACCTGCTAATATAACACTGATTGCTAACTTGATAGCATGGCTACATGCTGCTCTGTTACTGTGGTTACCGTCTTTCTCTCCTCCCACATTTCTCATAAATAAAGCAAAAAAGATTGTTGAATATTTTGCCTGTTTTACATCCGTTCACAGCAGTAACATGTGAGACAGTGATGCCACAGACACCGAGAATCAGTTTTATTAAGCAATTTAATATTTCCAGTTCATAGACATTTGTCGTGCATCAATCATCAGCGCCCAGTGTCGGCCATTTTGTCGATTTTGACCTAATAATCGTCATCCATCACGGCAGATATTGACGAGGGAAAATCCTACTTGATTTTATTATCAGTCAGTTAATCTTCTTCTCTTGTGGATACGTTTAATAAATGTATGAAGATGATATTTGATTTGACAAAGAGACCTGAAGCTTCAGAGGAGTTTGAGATTGATGTGATTCTGATGTTTAATATCACAGTATTGCTGTTTCTGTCTAATTTACAGATTCAATCTTTCTGCATTTATCTGGTGTTATAACCTAAACGTCTGCACTTTCTCCATCTCTTCCTAAACTTTTAAATTTATCTTAAATTTGTCCCTTTTGGGGGATTAATCGTCACACTACAAGTTCCCACGTGTAAGTTCTAACCTGAGATCTGGAGTCCAGTACGAGTGTGTTGTTGTCACATCTGCACTACGTACCGCTCCACACACCAGCCAGCATCTCAACCATGTGGCTGTAACAGTGAATACAAACCACATTAAAGCACCGCGTTGGCTACCATCTGAAGAACCGGGGATTCCCTCGACTCGCAGCAGTTCAGACATCTGCTGCTGGCTGTGGTTGTCTTTAAAGGACCCGTGTGACCGTCTGCAGGTTGAGAGCTGCAGGTCAGAGGTTGGAGTTCATGCCGATCCAGTGTCTGATGAGCTGGTGGGCGATGGTCTGTCTGGGGGGAACGGTGAAGGCTGGACGGGTTCCTCTGAACGAGTCGATGACCTAGAGAAAAAGAAACGTTGGATTTAAACACTCAGCATGTTGTTTCACTCTTTTGCTCAGAAAACCTGTTTTTATTTTGATTTTGAGACGGTTGAAAGCTCAGGAAAACGTCCAGTAAGTGTGACTTGTTTTAAGAAAATGACCACGGTCACTTCTTAACGATGACGTCATTGATGCTGTAATCATCGTCATCATCATCATCATTAGTTTCTATTGTTTGTACCTGTTGCCGTGAGAACCACCGAGCTTCCTCGATCTCGTCTTCGTCCACTTTGATGCCGGTCGACATGGCGACAGCGAGGCAGCCGATCATGAGGTTGGAGGGCATCGGCCACGGCTGGCAGGAGACGTACTGCACCGGCCCCACCTTCACCCCGCTCTCCTCCTCCACCTCCCTCCTCACCGCCTCCTCCATCGTCTCCCCTGCAGGAGAAGGAGGAGCTCCAGGTGAGGCCCGGGTTCAGGCACCGGTTAGTCAATGTAGTGTGTGTGTGTGTGTGTGTGTGTGTGTGTGTGTGTGTGTGTGTGTGTGTGTTACCAGGCTCTATGAATCCGGCCAGACAGGAGAACATGCCGACTGGAAAGATCTTCTTCCTCCCCAGTAGACACTGGTTTCCATCGGGGTGGATCACCAGCATGATGACCACTGGGTCTGAAGACACACGTCCACAGATACATGAAGTCAAGTCTGTTCTAGTAGCAGTCTGTAAAGTTGATATAACACTTATAATACATACAGATGTGTGTGTATCTTTTATTACGGAAAGTTTTGAAGTTGATTTTAATACGTTTTGATTATTTTCACATTAATCAAACAACGGGCCGGTCTAAAACATCGCGCTGCTTCACTACGGCGACTATAAATACATTGTTAGGGTGGATTTCACCATTTATTTTTGTCTTATTCGTGCAAATGTAGGCCATCCAGGCCATTGATAGCACTGATCAAAAGCAGATCGGTGAGGAAGGCTTCTGGAGCTCCGTACCGACTCGTGGATAGCAGGTGTTGTGGACCCCCTTCAGGCTCCTGCAGTCGGAGTTCAGGCAGCTCCTCTTGTATCCTCCCTCCTCCAGCCCGGTGCTGCTGCCACACGTGGGACAGAAGCTGTAGCGGCTGTGCCAGGCCAACACCGACCGAGCCTGAGCCACAACTCCTGCAGGACAAAAGAGACGTGACTTTAGGATATTTAATCAAACATGGGAGGAGTCATATAAACTCAATTGTTTCAGTCGAGAGCGATGATGCTTCCTCCTCACCGGCCTCTTCCTCGCTGAGCTTCAGCAGGTCTCTGTTGGGCATCTTCGGGAAGCAGCAGTTCTTCTCTCGGCAGCGTTTAAGAAGTTCGGCAGCGTCCTCATCGGTGTTGATGGCAAACCAGGCGGGAGGCTCCTGGACACCATCCGCTGTCTGAGAGGAGGAAGAGGAGGGTTTCTTCCTCTTCTCCACTCCCAGGAAGATGAGCACAGTGGCAGGTTTCTGGAGGTCTTTCACTGCCTCGTATCTGAACCGACACAGCTTGGTCTCAGCCTGTTAAGAGTTAGAATGACGAGCGTTAGAAAACTACTTGAATCTCTGATGTGAAAAAGTCAGACTGACCACCAAATACCACTCGAAGGACGAAAACTTTAAATATGGGTTAATCCAGGCCGCACCTCTCCAAAGCATTTGAAACACTGGATGCTACCAGTATCTTACATTTTTTGCTTCCAAATTTGCTAAAACTTTTGTTTTTCATTTAATACGAACACAAGTCTACTCCTCTACGCAGACGATGTGGCACTTTACTGTTACAAACATCCCTTTGCATATCTGTTGAAAGACTTGACCTATGACTGAAAGCTGTGGAAAAACCTAATAAGTGAACCTTGAGATAAGAATGTTGGTATCAGTATTTGGACTTTTCTTTTGTGTATTTGGGTTCACTCGTCTCTCAAACCTCTGAACTCCGAACTGTTTCACGGCGTTCTTTTTCTCTCTCTGGCTTTGAACTTCACTGCAGTTTAAAAGTCCTGCTCCTCGAAAGAAACAGAACAATTATTTCTAGAAGTAGAGAGAACTCAAACATGTCTTTTCTGTAGTAGAACACATAAGTGTTACCATTGTTTAAAAGGCTCTACATGCTATATACACAGAACTATTCACATATCTCCAGCCTCTCCTCTCCCTCTCCCTCTCCGTGTTCACTTCCTGAAATTCAGTCAAAGTTTCTCTGATTTGTCCTCACGTGACTGTTGGTCTCAGATGAGTCAATCATGACTTCATAGCTGCGCTGAGGAGCTCACAACTTTCAAGCAAAAAAAAACAACAAGATTTTAAATGACGCATACATTTTTGATGAAATATCACAATTTTCCGACGGGAGCGTTGGTTGCTTATATGATAACGTTTTTTACAGCTTCTGGCTTTGATAAAAAGTTTAGTTTTGGCGATTGTTTAAAGAAAACATGCTTTTTAATTCCAGCGGTGGGTTTTGGGGTTCGGCGTGTTTTCTTCTGTACGTATGTTAAATAACTCTAGAAATGACCACGGACGATTGTGTCTCACCACTGAGAGTCAATCTTAAGTTGATAATATTCTGCTTGTAGCCTCTGTGGCGCGAATACCTGAGAGACTTTGTAACAAATTCATTTTAAATGTGTACGGTAGAACATCAGCATGCACTCGTACCCCGGCGCTGTCGTCCTCCCGGGGGCCGCTGACCATGGGGCTGAGGTTGGAGAACAGGAGGTAGACCGTGTCCGGGTCGCTCCGTCTGTCCTCCAGCCAGACCTTGTCGGTCCTCTTGGCACTCAGCCGGTCCAGCGTCTCCCTGCTGAAGTAGTTCTCCTGCTGGTGGAGGTCGGAGCCCGGCAGGACACGCTGGCAGCCGTCGTCCGTCCGGCCCAGCAGGTTGGAGACGTGTCGGTGGCCCCAGAACTTGGCGATATCGTAGGCGCTCTGCGACGAGCTGTTCACGGAGAACTTGTCGCAGCTCCAAAGATCAAAAACAGAGAAGAGATTTCAGGAGAAGCAATCTATCCAAAGGTAGGCGTGTGGGGGACACGATGCTAATGACTGCTATTTATGTCAATTTAGCAAATAAAACATTCGAATCAAACTGGTCCAACAAACGGATTTAGAAATGTGGCCTGAAAGTCTTCTTCTGCCCTCTAGTGGCCAGAAACCTATTAATGCAGCTTTACGGTGATAAATCAAACACTTTAACGGTGCATTAAAGTCACGTTTCGTGTGTATTGTTGCTTTATTTTTGCTGTCTGTACCCGTGCGACAGCAGCGCCTCCACCACATCGTAGTGTCCATTGCGAGCGGCGAGCATCAGCGCCGTCCAGCCGCTGTGTCCCGACCGGTTGATGAGCGAGGGGACGTGGGACAGCAGCGTGGACACCTGGATCAGGTCTCCTCGGGCCGCCGCGTCCAGAAACCTCTCCACCGCCTCCTCCTGCGCACTCAGCTGGAGGCTCGTCATCCTGGAAGTGAACCTCCCGTAAATACGTGATCAGAGACAGAAAACAGTGGGAGCGAGGTGTGATTCAAGCTGTTAGTTATATTCAGTCATTCTAAAGTGTTTAAAACCAGGATTTGAAAAACGTCTTTCATTGATGATAATAAACAAAGAAACGCAGCAAAGCTGAATGATTTATTTCATCTGGTTAAATGATATTTGGGTCTTTTTAGGAACCTTGGAGGAGTTTAGAATCTACAATTAAAAGCTCACGTTTTGTGCAAAAACAGGATTTTAGAAATGTTTGCAAATGAAAATAAAATACTAAAATATGACATTTACATATTTATCAGGTGAGTCTCATTTCCCTTGATTGGAGTCCAGCTGTGATGTGGAGATGCTTCTATAAAGTCTCATCACGTTCTCTCAGGAAACAAACTCTGAAGCACAACTTCTTTATTCTCCATTTTAAATGTAAAAATGTTTCTTATTCATCTGTTGAAATTATTTAAATGCGAGCGCTTTCTTCCTACCACTTTTATTTTATTTGTTTGTTTTTAAAAGTACGGCACTCTGAGCTACGTGGTCTGTATGAACTGTGCTCTACAAATAGTATTATCTTAATTATTATTCATGTCTGGAGGAGATCACCGCTCAGCTGCACAGCACCAGATCACTTTATTCTGTTGACCTTGTGTTGTTCGATCGTTGCTCTTTGATTAGATTGAAAGGTGATAAACATCTATAACACTTGATCGACTGAGTGGTGCAGCAGGAACACTGAGTTCAGGCTCTGAATGTTTATATTTACTTTTTGTACTTTTTATAAAAATTGTTTCTGAACTCCTGTTCTTGCTTTGTCATTATGGGCTGTTGAGTGCAGGTTGATGAGGGGACATTTATTTTGGCGTAAAGCTGCAACACAAACTGCACGTTGTCTGAATACACTTTTATTAGCTTTTTTTTAATTCTTTTTTTACTTGTTTGAATTGCATGACCTCAGTTTTGAACGTAGGTTTTTATTATTAATATTTTTAAAGTTGTGTAGACGTACTCTGTTTCACCCGATTAGAAAAGTGGACTCTGTAACTTGTGTATGATATATTTGTCTCCTCCCTCTTATTGGCGCAGACAGCTGTCAATCAATATTTGGGGTTACGCCCACTAAAAATCATAAACGTTACAAAATCGCAGTTTACATGTAACAGCTTAAAACTCACGTGTTTCTCGGTTTAAATATTTCCATAATGATTCAACAACTCTGACAGAAGTCGGATCTGATATTATTCTGATGTGAGTAGGCTCGTTTATAGCCAGTTAACGCATGTAAAGCGTTGGGACTGTTACACGTGAGGACTGTTATTTATTATGTCACGGCTGGATATCAAAGTGACGTCAGAGTGTAGCTGTATACAGGTTAATCGGAGACTCTCGGGCTCCGTCTATTTACTGGAAATGACTTCACCGTCTTTGTTCGTGACTGCGGTCAGAACGCAACATCAAAGTTTAAATAATAATAATAATAATAATAATGAAATGTATAAGAAGTGTCACCTCGCTGTGCAGCTCTGCTCGTGTTTCTCTTCCGTCCGGGAGGCAGTGTGTGTCTGTTGTGTTGAATAAACGGTGACGAGCTGCGTTCAACCGTGATGCCTTCAAGATCCCCTTAAACTGTCGTATTTCTGAGAGTTAGCAGCGATAACTTTTTTTAGTTTTTTTTGCAAAACTGCCATAAAGTCAGGGAAGGTGTCAGCTATACATTTGTTTATTTTTGTTATTTTTAACTGATAGTCTTGTTTTATATTTTTATTTATTGTCAGCCTCTTTCCTTCCTGTAGATGTTTTACTTATGTTGTTATAATCAGTTATACATTTGTTTTTTTAACGGTCAAACTGTCCATCATACATATTTGGGTGAAGATGTTGCATTTTCCAAGGAACCACTGAATGCAGCACATTTTGCACTGGCTTTGCAGCACTTTTTCTGCTTCCTGCCATCAATGCTGCTGAACGCAGCCTGCAGGCTACCTCCTACAGTGTGGTGCATTCTGCGCACACACACACACACACACACACACATACACAGCTCATTTTAATGACTTTATAATGTAAACTAGTTCATAAAACATCATTATTTATTGTGAATGTGAAAAGTAACTAAAGCTGTCAGATAAATGTAGTAAAGTAAATATAAAGTATAAAGTAGCATAAATTAGAAATAGTCAAGTAAAGTACCTCATAACTGTAGTAAATGTACTTCATTACTTTATTATCTGGGGTGAAACTACTTTGATATCAGTTTCTTTGGAACATTTTGGGGTCCAGAGAAACTTAAAATATCCACGAATAATTCCATAACAAGTGGACTTGAAGCAGACGTGACAGAAACATGCGGTTTCGTTAATATTTTAATAAAATAATCTCGACCGCTTCACAGTCACCTGAATACCAGCAAACATTTGAAAACATTTCAGACATTTCAAAAGAAATAAACAATAAAATAAGTTAATATTTACTGAAGTTCACAATAAAAACACACGGAAGACAAATAATATACAGCCGGTTATTGTTGGAGATAAAAGAAACAGACGTTTAAATGTTTAATTTATTAATGAGACTCAAATGAAGCCGGATAGAAACACAGAATCAGATCTGTGTGTGTGTGTGTGTGTGTGTGTGTGTGTGTGTGTGTGTGTGTGTGTGTGTGTGTTAGGAGTAGAAGGTGAGGACACTCTGGTGGTTTCCTCGGACCAGCAGCAGAGGGGGGGCGTCTTTGGACAGAGTCTCCAGCCAGCACATGTAGAGGGCGCTGGACACCGTGCCCTTCCTGGCCAGAGGCATGCTCCTGAGAAGGACCACAGAATATATGAGACACATTTCATCAATGAAACTTTATCAAAATGATGACTAAATATCTCAAAATGATGAGAAATAATCTCAAAACAATGTCTCATTAAGTTGAGATATTAAGTCATTCATTCGAGAAAGTTTTACAGTTTTACACTCACAGATTTAATACATAAACTACATTTCTCTGATCATACGTTCATAAACAGAAGGAACGTTTTCTACGCAGCAGGTTTTCAGAGCTGTTAGTATTTTATTTAAATAGAGAATCTGAAGGTGAGAGTTTGATTAGTTCTCCATGAAGACGTGAAGCAGAAGTGTGACGCTGATGATGAAGCAGACGAACTCTGCTGAAGGTTCTTACATGACAATGAGCTTCGCCGCGCTCGAGTGTTCCTTCAGCAGCTCGTTCAGTCGGATCTGACGGTTGTTCTGAAAGTCGAAGACAACAGGTTGTAACGTCACAGCGGAGCACCGTGATTGGTCAGAGTTGATGGTGTGTGTGTGTGTGTGTGTGGGGGGGGGGCGGACCTTGGCCCTGTAGAGCTCCAGCTCGTTGTCGGTGATCCTCCAGGGCTCCTGGGCCTTCAGCCTCTCTGCAGCCTCCTGCTCCATGTCGTCCTCCTTCAGCCTGTACGGCTCAATGAGCTCCTTGAAGCTCAGCTTGCTGCACAACCACACAGAGCGTTAGCAGCTATCTGTCATAATAACAGCCTATAGCAGAGCAGAGGAAGACTCAGAGGTCAGAGGTCGTACTTGTGTTTCTTGGGTTTGGTGTTGATGTCTCCGAGGACGTGGATGTCAGAGTAGTCGATCCTGAACCTGCTGAGCAGCGTGGCCATGCTGATGGGACACACACACACACACACACACACATTGATCACCCTACAGAATGCTCTGTGTGTGTGAAGAGCAGACACGGTGACGGCTCGTTGTACTCACGCTCGGCGGTCGTGGTCGATGCGGTTGATCTTCCCGCCGATGAAGACGCGGATCCTGCAGTCGCCCCATTTGCTCCGGTTGGTCAGCAGGAAGGGGATCAGCAGAGTCAGACCTGCAGACACAAACACACACTCATCCTCCTGCTCTCTGGAGGAGCTGTCTGCTGCAATGTACTCTCTTATGTTCTCATGTTTGTTCATATCCATATCATTCATTGATGATTCATTCTGTGAGCGTGTCCAACTAAAGATGATCGTGTGAACTGCTGCTGTAATGTGATCACAAATATTATTTATAATAATAATTACATCATTGTGAATGAGAGTTTACTCTCAATGATCTGCCTGAATTAAATAAAGATTAAAATAATAATAATAATAATGAATAAATACTGCTACTAAATAATAATAATAATAATAATAATAATAATAATAATAATAATTAATGAATTGAATGAAAACAAAAGTTTTTTTTAATATTAATAAATAAACCAAACTGGCCTCCATCATCAAACAGCCACCAGACGTCGATGGTTCCTTTGCCCTGTTTCTTCTTGAACTGCTGACTCGTCTCCAGCAGACGCTGGTCGGCCAGACTCAGAGGAGACTTGGTCTCTGTAGCTGGAGATCACATGACATGATAATCACATGACAGCATAATCACATGACAGGATAATCACATGACATGATAGTCACATGACATGATAATCACCTGACATGATAGTCACATGACATGATAATCACATGACAGGATAATCACATGACATGATAGTCACATGACATGATAGTCACATGACATGATAATCACATGACAGGATAATCACATGACATGATA